CACAAACTCTCAGAGAGGGGCCAACACTGCATGCTACAATGAGAAACCACTGATGGAGCACCCCATGTCTGCCATGCTGGGTCTGTGCTCTGTGTGTGCACATGCGTTGTCCCAGCCTGGGCCGATCATTCCTGGACTCTGAGCCTGAGTCTGGCTTGCAGCCTTGTGATGTTGGGCAACTCACCTCTCTGGCCTCAGTTTCCTCAACTATAAAATATGGATAATAATACCTACCCTGCCCCTCACTAAGCTGTCGGGAGAATCAAAATGTAAAAAGACAGCCTAAGTGTAACCAAACATAATTTTAAAACCATACGATGGGCAACATAAATGTAAAGTTACTTTAGTAAGGATCTTTTTCTCCTCAGGAAAGAACAGGCTAGGACTACATGGAAAGCCTACTATCCTTTCCTTATTAAGTGCTGCTCATCCAGTAGTTCAGGGGCCTTTGCCCCCATCAAATTTTTGTAGCGGAAGAACATGGGCCTCAGAACTCCAAGAACTGAGTGTACTGGCAGCTCTATCATATCGATAAAGCCTTGGGCTAGTTACTTTAATTCTCTGAGCCTGCATATTTCACCTGTAAAACACAGAGAATACCTATTTCACAAGGTTGTAATAGTGTTTAAATGAAATATTACCTGTAATGTACCAACCATGATTTCTAGTGCACTGTAGGCATTCAACAAATAAAGATTTGTTGAAGTGATACTGAAAATGAGATAAAGTACGAGGACAAATACTTTTAAACTCACTCTGGGGGCAAATAAAATACTTCAGCACTTTTATGTCCACACTCCAGAGTGGAAATTCGTCAAAGAAATACTCTTCCTGTAAGGGAGGCAGCACTGTAAACGCCTCCCACCAACCCATCGGCGTCGGCGTCACAGCACGTACCAGGAAGTTAAACCAAGCCTGTAAAGCATTATGTATTATGCCAGGGAATAATTTCAAACTCTTATCAAATAGGTACCTTCAAATGCTCCTGAAGATATGAACAGATTTTGGCCAACTTTCCTTAGTGTGTGGGAAAATTGATACAGGTCTAGAAGGAAAGGAAAATTAAGAAAAGGACAGTAATAGGTAACATTTATGCCAGTCACGGTGTCCTGCCCTTCTTCCATTGAGATGTTACGCATTCTTCCATTCATATCCCAAAGCATCCCATTGAAGACAGTCCTCTCATTCTTCCCATGTTACAAACATGGCACTGAGGCTTGGGGAGGGTGAGTGAAATCGCCTAAGATCACAGAGCCTCAAGAGGTAGACCCTGGATTCAAAATTAGTCTGCTTCACTACAACTCTCCCGACCTTTCTGCTAGCTTTAATTCATAGAGAACTAGATAAATATGACCAAAAAAGACAGTCTGGGAAGATCAACCAACTGGAATGTGAGTTTCAGTGATCAGTGCACTATCATTTTGCTGATTTTATGACTACATAGGAAACCTTCCCATAGGGCCCATAGATTTTAACAAAGTATTTGCACAAATCTCACTTGGTTTTAAGGACCTGGTGAAATAGGCAGACTAGGTATTATCCATAAGTGATGAGAAACAGGAGACTCGCAGTGGGTAGCCCCCTAACTTTTTCTCAGTCACACAGGCTACTAAGTGGGAGGCTTAGATTTAATTAAGCTTTTTGTCCCTAAGCAATTCTACTGTACTATCCTGTCTCTCTTTAAGCTGAAATATATATAACCCCTATACTTGCTCCAAGAAATAACCATAAACTGTGTGACAAATAAACTCTGATTTTTCACATTTCACAGCTTTTAGTTATCATTCTAGAAGGCAGATATTACTATCCTTTTTAAAAAATCAGATGAAGAAACTGAAGCTTAGAAAGTTAACGTGTCCAAAGTAATACAGTTAAAAATGGTGGAACCAAAATGCAAACTTAGGTTTGACTCCAAGGTTTGCACACTTAGCCATTACCTGAAACTGCCTCTCAGTCTCAGTTCTAATGAATGAGCCAGGGCCCAAGATTCCCTGTTCGTCATATGTGAGTGAGATGTCAGAGAGCACCTGGCTCTAACATTCTCTCATTAGGAGACTCCAACGCAGCACTCATCTCATGCCGTCACTTGCTAGCATTCGCTAAACTAAGAGCCTGGAGACATGGGTTCTCTCCCTACTCTGTCCATCACTAATTAAGGGACCTTACACAGGGTGTTCAACCAACTCTTCTTCAAAAAGGGAAGTTGACTGCATCTACCTTCAAGCAGAAGTAGGTGCAGGTATCCTCCAGGGGTAAGATTTCTCAAGCAAGACTGGTAGGTAACATTCTGATTAAGGTGAATTTTCACTTCAGATGCATCCATATTCATAACATAAGATCAAAGCATAAGCTAAAGCAAAACAACAGTGAGTCAACAAAATCTCCCTCTTCCCTGTCACTGAACTAAGTGAAAGTTAACAGGTTACAGAAAAGGGAACCTGCCAAAACTGTGCTGAACATAGTTCCCTAAAGACATGGGTCTCATTTAGAGAATCCGTCCACCTCTAAGCACAGCTGAATCAATTTTCACTTAGAAATGGCTCACTTCAGCGAGTGGATTTTCTAAATAAGCTTCAGGCACACAAACACAAACAGAACTTGGACCCTAATCAGCACGATGCCGTCCCTTTTCCTCCTCAAAAAAAATAGCAAATAACTAAAACAACAAATTTATTTTGGGAGAGGTATAGAAGGAGTTAAGTAAACTTGATTTTTCAGTTATGGCTGGACTGTACACAGTAAACGTGAACTGTATATAATCATATTTCAATTTCATATTAACTGAAAAGAGAGCATAAGAGACAGGCCTATATGGAAACATTCAATTTGAAAGAGGGCAGGGGTAAGAACGCCCACGTCTAACGATTTTAGTGAACTATCAGAAAAAGATACCATCATCCAGTGGAGCACATCTTAACTTTCTACAAATGTCTCTGTGGATTTCACAAAACAAACTCTTCACCGAGAAACACAGGTGCATAAACTTTTGCCTGTAATTTCAAAGGATGTGGACCCCATGAAGTCTACCCTTGGGGCCCTTGAATCCAAGGAGTGGAAGGCACTCTAGACGGCCTCTTAGGAGATGTGACGTCTATTTCTGGCCCGGCCACCTTGTCGCTCTAATCCAGTCACTTTGCCTCTCTGGATGTCAGTTTCCTCATCTGTTAAAGATGATCTTTCCTGACTCTTTAGGGTTGAAATTCTAACAAAGTCTACTGATACCACAGTAAGAGTGAGGGATTTAGTAAAATCACCTCCTTATCATTTTTTAAATTGTTACTCATGACTCAGAGCACTTTTTCTAGGTTGCAGAGCAGTAACAGCCAGGAGAATCTAAGCTCTGGACTAGGTCTACAGCAAGGCACTCCTACTCCCCTCCTGCAGTCCTCTGTTGGAAAACCTCAAGTTGGCTTTCCCTTACTTACTTCCCTCCAAAAGGGGAGAGGTGGCTTTCCCACATGTACAGCGGTAGCACTATGAAGCAAGCCAAAAAATCTTCTCCAAGAACAAACACACTCCAGTTTCCTTAAAGCTGTGCTGCAATAAGTCTCGTGACATCCTCACCCGGCGTAGAATGAGGCTGTTGTAATCACTCTATTTCCCCATCTAGATGGCAGTCCTTAACCAACTCCGCTTCCCAGCAAAATCTCTGAGTTCTAAGACTGAATAGAGAGAAACTGCACTTGAACTTCACAATAGTTATACCGAGTTGTTTCCACTTCTAGGACAAGGCCTGTCTTCCTAAGGCCATGAGGAGAACGAGCAGAAGGAATCCAGTCACTGGCCAGATGGGAAGTAGGAAGGAATGGAACATATCACTCTCTGGAATACTGTCATAGGAGAGCTCAAGTATCCAAAGCTCATCTGAGATGAGGTGTGACCCCCTACCGGCACTGTATCTGTACCACCTATCAGAGAGCTTTCTGCAAAGAACCTTCTGTCTGGCTTGACTGGGAAAGTTAGAGCAGGTAAAGAAAGACACACAAAAAACCTTATTTATATAACAGTCAGTAGCATTGTGTTCTGAGATCTCTTCTTGGCCCTTCTAGATTACCCCCACACACAGCTTAAAATGGTAAAAAAATAAAATGCAACTAAATTAAGTCTAACTTGGCAAAATATATGAGAATTTGGGAATATAAGGTTCCTTCAATTGCTAAAAAAATAAATCCAACGGGATTTACTCTTGTTTAGCCAATGTGGTAGGAAAGATGATCATGACCATAACCAGTAAAAAACATATTAAACAAGAGAAACTGTACTTGAAATTGTCTACCCTTCATAAATACTGCAATCAAAAGTGTTAGCTGTTTTAACGCATTTATTTCTCTGTTTATACAAGAAAATAGAACTCTTTAAATGTTTTGACTAACAACCTTCCTTCAATCTAAAGAGTCAGAATGTATAACAATTGAACCCACAAACACACAGACAGGATTTCCTACTGCACGTTTCCAGGACAACTCAGTGGCTTTTTACCGCTACTCATATGAAGACATCACTGCTCTCAATTTTATTTATAAAAATTACACTCAAACCAAAACTCTGTGGTTCAGCATACTTTCCATACACAATTACTACATTAAAGTATTTGTTTCTAGTTAACTTTTTAGTCTTGGAGACATACCGAAAAAAAAAAAAAGACAGAAAAAACGTTTCCTCTTGTACTAAACCGGGAAAAGCTGGATACCATGGTAATGGAGTGCTACCCCCTCAGACCAGACTTACTCTGAGTTTTCAGCAAAATGTTAAGAGGCAAGCAGCAGTGAAGGCAGGGAGACAGAGGAGAGAAAAGACGGTGACATGACTTACGTGTGTCACTCTCAGACAATGCAGTGGTTAGAAGGAGCAGGCTGACAAAGCCCCAGGAAAGGCAAGGCGCAGGGCTGAGGTTTCAGTTCCTGGCAAGCGCCCACTGTGAGGCCAAGTGGGCAGGGCTTCTATGAACGAGGGGTGGGGCTGGCGCTGAGAGGAGGGAAATGGGGAGAAGGAGCACTTACTCGGTTAGAAGCTGGTGCAGCTTGTGATAACCTCGCTCCAAGGCCAAGCTCACAGGTGTCGCTCCTTCCTGGTTGTGGATGCTCAGAGCTCCGCGGCCACCTGGCTTCTGCAACAGGAACCATGTCAACCGCAGCAGTCCCAGCCGCACAGCAAAGTGCATCAATGTTTCCCGGGGGCCGCCATCTGTGGACGGGGAAGAAAATGGAAACAAGTGAAGAGAATGTGAAGACACGGAGCAAGCAAACAGAAAGACGAGTCAGGTAGACACCAATGCCGCCAAGGACCTAGGGTCCTACAGTTAAGCCACCACATACAACGTGAACAATTTTACTGCAGCAAAGTAGAATCAGCTCTCGACTAAAGACAAAACAAAGCTAGAAAAAAGTATGAGAAGCAAAATCTCCAACAGGAGCCAGTTCTACAAAAGACTCAAGCCATTTCTTATTCTGATTTAATGCATCTGTTCAACCAATTTATACAGGCAGATTTGTAAGGGTGACTCCACACATATGTTCTTTCCCTTAATAAAGAAAGAAATAGAAGTGAGTGCAGCCTCCACATGGGGATCCAAGGGGAATAGCTGTCGGGGCTTAGATGGGTGTATCATCAAGGATATAATTACTTTAAAAAATTGTTTTAAAAAACACCACCACCCAGACAGGAGTCGGCTAGTTAAACACTAAAAACAGGTTCTGCTTGTTAAGTACACACAGCTCTTTTTATTCCCCCACATTAAGGGCAAATCAAATGGCTGGCACTGCCAGCTTATTTCTGTTGGTTTAATGAAAGAAAGAAATGCATCTCCAGGTGTAAAACAAAAGACTAACTCCAAGAGGATATGCTAACAACTTCAGAAAGAAAAACGTGTGCCTGGGCCTAGTTCACCCGATGGGAAGGCCCCTTCCTGGTGTAGTGAGTCACTCTGAAAGTGGCAGAATGTAGAAGGGCTTTGGCGTCAGACAAAGCTGGGTTCATATTGGCATTTACCACCTGTGTGACTGGGCATCATCCATCTCACCTCTCTGAGCTCACTCTCTTCATCCCTGGGGTGGGGTACCATCCCTTCACCCCCAGGGCTGCAGTAACAAATGAGAGGGAGTGGATGAGATGCTACTCTGCTGCTTGGCTGTAGCAGGTACTCACTGAATGAGTGCCAGACTCCTTCCCTCCCCTGCTCTTTTCTCTGTCCCTCCCAACTTCCAGCTGCATCCTGGGTTCACCAGCAACTCTCTCTCTCTGCCTCAGGTGTCCTCTTGTGCCCAGCCTACAATGTCGGGAGCTACAGGCCCTGCAGGGCTGTGGTGCACACCCCATAAGGCTGGGCCTTACTCAGCCCCAGGGAGCAGGACTTGGAGTCTGGAATGGTGCCCTGGAGTTGTGCCTGCCTTCATCCCCTCAGCTGAGCTAATATCTCTCATTCTCCAGAGCTTCCCACAGGTCTCAACTCCTTCACTGAGCGTACGCAGACTTCCTGGACGGACCCCGGTGTTTCCTCCTTACACTCAAGTCTCCAGTGCTTCTGTATGTGAACAGCACAATAAGAATGAACACATCTTTGAACCTGAGTTTTTACACTGAACTGCACTGTCTTCTAATGACATGTGTGCCTTAGTCTGGTCTCCCTACTGCCAAGGTAAATTTCCTTGGAAGCAAAAGCCATCTTTCATATTTCACACTTTCCCTACAGAACTCTGCACACTACTAATTCAGGGTTTATACGGTGTTCAGCAGAGGCACAAGGCTAGAAAGAAATCAACACTGCCAAAGAAGCCACTGCCGATGCAGGTACAAATTTTAATTATCAACACCTCAGGGGAGGTAGCCAGGCCAGACTAAAGGACAGAAAGAACCTTCAGCAAAGATCAAATATCACCATCTGACTTGTGCCTTACAGCTGTTCACAAACACTCTGTCATCCTTATCAAATATAAAAAAGCTAATGAGGCACTGCCCAGGAACTGTGTGATTTTTTTTTTTTGAGACTGGTTAATTCCAGCCTTACTAAGCAATACCTCCTTAAAGTAGTTTTCTCTACACCCCCACCATTTCTCACCCCTTATTTGCTCTGAGTCAGCTCAGCCTTTAAGAGTAGTGTTCCAACAACAAGGCCATGCACCTGCTCAAAGCTGGCACCCCAATTCCAGCACCTGTGGGCTCCTGAATCTCACCTTAAGGTCTTCGCAGCAGGTGCCACATTTGCTTTTAGGTCACCCCCTCTCTGCCATCAACAGATAATAAGAAAAGCAATACCAGGTGAAGGCCTGCTAAGTGCCAGACCCCGGGCTAAGTGGTTTGTACTTTTTTTCATCCTTTTTCATAAAACCCATGAGGTCCTGTTATCCTCATTTTGCGGATGAATTCAGGTTAATAACTTGACCACAGCAAAAATCATCAAGATTTGAAAATTCTTCTATCTTGAATTTAGAAACCACACCTTCCTCTCTTTTTGTAAGAACTTCAAGCAATCATGCACGCGATCTAACATTGTAGTTTAAAAAGCACCTTTTCATTATGTTTTCCTCCAAAAATAATTTTATTACCTTCCATACCTTCCATTTGTCTCTTATTCCCTCTGTCTCAGTTTAAACTCCAGAGCCCCTACAATTTAGAATCAATCTCTGTTCTCTACTCTCTATGTTGGTATTTTTTTCCTCTGTCAAGATCCTTTGTCTTTTCCCTATGTATGATGAGAGCTACTCAACTTTGTTTTTTAGATCACTAACTGCATTTCCTATGATGTCAAATTGGGTCCTTTGTCCCCAGTTTGAATTTAATTATGCTATGGGATTCTGGATGTCCTTGCATCATTTAAGCCAACTCCCTTTCCATCTCTGCCGTCATTGTGATGGGGTTTTTTTGCAGATGTAATTAAAGCGCCTAATCAGTTGATCTAATAAGGAAGATTATCCTGGCTAATCTGGGTAGGCTTAACTGAATCAGTTGGAAGATTTTAAAAGCAGGGCTGAGGTTTTCCCTGGAGAGAGAAGAAATCCTGCCTGTGGAGGGCAGCTTCGGCCTGTGCTCGTGGAGTTCCGTCCAACTCAGGGCCTCCCCTTCCTGTCTGAGGATGGCAGCTTTGGCTCCTGCTGGTGGGTCTGAGCTGGCCCGTGATTTTTCTCTTCTCTTCCTGCCCTACGAATTTTGGACATGCTTAGTGAGCCCCCGCAACTGGGCAAGCCATTCCATGAAATAAATCTTAATACATACTTTCCTACTGGTTCTGATTCTCTGGTTGACCCTGACTAAAGTACTCATTAAACCAATTTTTCTCCTTGGTGCTTCCTTCTCCAATTTCATAATAGGCGTTATGTCTTCAATCTTTTAAAGGACCTCTTCAAATTTTTTTCTTTGGTTTCTTAATGAAAATTGTACCCAGTGAGTCTTCCACCTGAACACTCGTGATAATAATTCTCCATTCCCTTTATGCTGAAGTGCTATGTCATAGGCCATGTTGGTTGGTTAGTTTTCCTGTTTAACCATACTCAACTGGAAAAATCTCTATGTGGGCCCAGCTTCTAGCCACCAAGAAGGTAATCGAAAATGTCATAAGTCCTGCTTGCTATCTGTTTATATGCTGGAAGCGCGCCCCAACAACCCCACCACACACACACTCCCTCAGATCTGCAGAGAAAGGAGATGTGTGCCTAGCAGGCATTCAACACCGACGAGCATGCTAGATGGCTGCATCTTTTCAAATCATTGCATTTTCTGACTAAGCAAAACGTCCTAAGTTTCATGAGCAAAACAGTAATCAAAGATTCCACGCACTTCTCCTCCCCGATCAATCATGGAGATGCCCTGCTCACAGTACTCCTTGAGTCTGTATCTAGGAGGCTCCAAAGTCCATTCTTTCTACCAGTCTGTACTGTTTCTTAAATAAACCTCAAGTCCCACATGAGGCAGGAATTTTCATATCCCCTGCAGAAGGAAAACAACAGGCCCATGTGAGAAATGGGCTTTTGGAAAAGTGGCACTTATAACCTTGTGGCAGGATCGAGGTTTGAGAAACAACAAAATCTTTTGGAGCTAAAGTACTGGCATTACCAGGCACCGCCTGTCTTGGCGTCAATCCCTTAGATTAGTATAATGTTACATTATTATTAAAATAGCTTTTAATATTTTATTATTTCTTTTTTTTAGTAGCTATGATAGCTGAAAACATACAAAAATACTAGCGAGTGTAGCTAAGAAAAAAATTTCCATGGAAAGCTATCAAGCAATCTGGAAAAAGTGTGGGAACTAAAACACCAAATGATTAAGGCTGTGGTTCTATGAACCAACATCAGATAAAAAGAACTGAGAACACACAGGCTGTTTTTAGCGCAGCCTTCTTCACATCTCTCTCACCCTTCTCTCCACCCAAATGTCTCTATGTGGGGAAGACTCCCACCCCAGAGATGATCAGCTCTTCTTTTCATTAGTTATACAACACCATGACTAAGAACGCAGACTTCCCCCAGAACCTTTCTCCTCCTTGCTTTCTTCAGAGCAAGTCTTCAGCAGCCCACCCTGTTACCGAGAGTTATGCTGCTTGCTGTTGTGTGGGGTCTTTCAGGGGAAAACCCATCCTGGGCTTCACCATTTTCACTAACCACAGAGGCACTGAAGAGCTGACACACGCGAAACTCAGTAACTCAGAGGGATAGTATCCCAACCCATCACTCACGCTCCACCCAGATGAAGCCATGTGACTTCCATCTGAGTACAGCATGGAAGCTGCTTTACGTAACTAGGGATTAAAGAGCACCGGGAAGAATAACATGGACAAATTCCCTCTTGCAGGTGTTTAAAGTGAGGACGGACTTTAGAAATTTTTTAAAAATCTCATTCTGCTTCAAAGAGTTTGTTGTCGTTTTTTCTTTTTCTTTTTAAATAAAGTGCCGCACTGTTTCATCTTTTTCATAGGACATGTTACTTTCCCTCATCAGAGCTCATCCATGTTTTGTCTCTAATAGGTTGGTGGATCTTGGTCATGGTACATTAAAAGTGAAGAGCCTGTAAACTAGCACCCACTATCAGACATTCCTCCATTTCATATGGGAAGAAATTTAGAAACAGAGAGATTAAGTATTTTGCACAAACTCCTGCAATGAAGCCAGCATATAAACAGGCCAACTCCATGGCCTAAGCTTCTCCACTCTAATACTGAGTCTAAACCAAGAGCTCTGAACTCCACGTTCAAGCCTGCGGTTCAGGGAGACTACGAATCCCTGAAACAATATGTAAATGTCTGCAGGCAGGCCCCTATGAGTATTTTTTCCTGAGAAGAAATCTGAGCTATTTTCAGAGGAGTTACTGACCTGAAAAAAAAAAGTTAAAAAGCACTGCATCTAAATAACTAGAGTGGGAGGATTAACCATAAATCTTACATGACTCCTTTGTACAAGCATTAGGCTGGAATACCTGTAAACATCCTAGCTTTCAACAGGAAGTAGTCCTGTTATGTAACAAGGTGTCCTATTAAAATGCATTATTATCCCAGGCAACAAGCTTACTTCGTACCTTCTTCCTTATTTAAACACCTTGAAAAAAAAAATATTTGATGTGCAACTCATTGATGTAAGCAGAATGTTCCTTTGCATTTGTCACTCAACAGCAAGCAAGGACCTCTTAATTGATGCTACTCAGTCTTAAAATATCTGTTTGTAGCTTCTAATCCACAATTAACTGAAGAGTTTAAACTGCAGAATGTGAGTCCAGCACTTGAAATCAGATTCCTTATCCCAGTGTTGACTTGAAGACAGGTCTGCAAGTCTCTTGCACGCATTTCACCTTGTAAAGTATACACCTAACTTGTTCAATTTCTTCTGTTCTTTTAATTGCTTTTAATTCATGTCAGTAAAATTCACCTTTGGAGGGTATACAGTTGTATGAGTTTGAGCACACAGATAGCTTCTTATAACCACCACCACCAAGACACAAAACCAGTCCAATACCCAAAGAACTCCTCCATGATACCTCTTTGCAGTCAGATCTTTCCCCTATAGACCCTGGCAATTACTGGTCCATTTTCTGTTCCTACAATTTTGCTCTTTCTAGAATATCATATAAATGGAATCATACAGTAAATAACTTTGGAAACTGACTTCTTTACTTAGTGCAATGCATTTAAAATGTACCCAAGTTGTTGCTCATATCAACAGTCTATTCCTTATTTATTCCTGAGTAGTATTCCATTGTATGGATGTACCACAGGTTGTTTATATATTCACCCAGTGAGGGATATTTGGGTTGTTTCTAGTTTGGGGTAATTATAACTAATGCTGCTATAGGCACATTTGTGCAAAGATTTTTTTTTGAGTAAATTTTCATTTCTCTAGGCTAAAGACCCAAAAGTGAGACTGCTGGGTCATGTAATAAATGTACATTAAACTTTTGTAAGAGATTGTCAAACTGCTTCCTAGATTGGCTGTAACATTTTGCATTCTCACCAACAATGTGTGAGCCGCTATTCTGCATCCTTGCCAGCACTTGGTATTTTTAATTTTAGCCTTCCTTAATAGGTGTGTAATGACACCTTATTGTGGTTTTAAGGCATTTCCCTAAATGTTCAAATGTGATTTAGCCTTTGCTAGCACTGCTTGAGCAATTTTATACAACAGAAACTGAAGAAGCACATGGAAAGTCCACAAAAATATTAAAGTTGCCGAGTTCCTTATTAAAGACAAGGAAGGATGCTAAGGCCCAGAGAGGGGAAGCGATATGCCTAAAGTCTCAGACCCGTGCTTTTCTAATAGTTCTTTCTAATCATGTGACATGAACTAACTATCCAACTCCTGTGCCTTCTTTAAACAAGACAAAGCAAACCCACACACAGATAAAACTTTAAGCCCCACACATAACTAGCGCAATCCTTCTTGATACTGATTTATAAATGACAACCAGAATAAACATCCCCATCACAAGACAGAAAGAGCAGGGGCCAGAGGTACTAAGCCCCAACATCAGGTTTCTGAAAAGGTGCCAGAGCCCTGTAAACAACAAATATTCTCATCTCTAGATCTCAGCACTGCAGAGCTTTCTTAGACATTATATTAATAAGAAAAAGGACACATTTTTTTTTCCTTCATGTGATTTCAGGGTCCATACTTTCTTTTGTATTTTACCTGGCAGGAAGCCCCTGAGAGTGGGGGACACCATTCCTACAGCTGGTCACAGCCTTAATGGTTAAATTCGGTGGATTTAAGAGAACCCAAACTAGCAAGCACCTCTCTACCATTCTTCCATGGGAGGAAGAATGCACCCACTTGATGGGTCTGTGGGAGCAGGAACTGAGCGGGGCCTCCCGCTCAGGGCCTCTCTGGGCGTTTCTCCTCAGGACCCGCTTGCCTGCAGGGAGGATGACTTCTGGTTGCCCTCCTTACATAACACAACAGTCAAAGCTGCGTGGACTCTGAAGGGCAGCCCTGTGATTGTTCAGCTCTTTCAGAGATAAAGTAGAAAGGATAAACAACCCCTTCAGTCAGCCAATCTAAAGTCAGCCTTCCAACCTAGCTTTTGTCATCAACACAGCAAACGTTCTGATCTATATCCGTGTAACTCCTACATCTCTCCAGGAGATGGTGAACTCAGGAGGGAAAGACGACGTTATTTATTGGACTCCAGGCATATACTGTTTCACTGAAGATACACACATATTCACAAATACATATTCACAACATTTAGAAGATGTCATTTGCCACAAGAATAAATATGTGGGATATCCCCTGTCTGAATAAAAGGAACACATACAGATACTGATTACATCAGTGTTTTTAACAATGGAGCCCTTCCTTCAATGAACTCGCCTATGGAGGGCCAGTGGATAAAATAAGCAAGTGAAGATACTCTGGCTAAAAATGTTTGGGGTCTACCAGAGCTCAGCCTGCTCTCAAGCTCCTCCCACCCACTTCCCAGCCTCTTCTTTTCCTCCAATTTCATGGAATTTCTAGAGAACTTGAGAATACAGTAATAAAAGCCTGTCTCTGATAATTAAACACCAAGAAAATAGCACAAGTTACTCTGCTACTTTCCTCCTCGTGAAGGACGGGTCTCTTTCTGCACGGGGTGGGAGAGGATGGAAGGGCAATGGGCCACCCTCTGCTCTATTTTATTTTTTCAGACCAACAGCTTTATTGAAAGATGAGAACAGAACCCCTCTTCCCCTCAGTCCTGGCAGCATCAGCCTCCAGCCCTGAGCATCCTGGCGTCCTGCCACCCAAGCCCCCCGCTACTTTACATGAGGGCTGACGACGACTACAGCAAGCTCCCTCTGGCGTCACTTCACCACAAGAACAGGCCTAAGAGCTCAGCTGAAGAGCCCAGAGGAGATGCCAACGGGGTCACTTCACTACAGTAAGTGCAAGGTCTGTTCAGCCACAGTGGCAGACGTAGAGACAGACCATCACCATATAAAAGCAGCCTCATCCAAAAACATAAGAATCCAAATTCAAAGACCGTGGGCCACTTAAGTTCTTACCACGTGACATCGGATCTGTCCCCAACACATTCCACTCTGCCGGCAGCTTCAGGTGCCTGAATGCCAGGGCCACCTTCTCATCAAGGGAATTCACATCAGTAGACGGTGGTCCTGACCGATCAAGAAAGCGGGTGAAGTTCAGAGCCTGCTGATTTCCAGCACTGGTTGCCAGGAATTGGGCTGCATCGTAGGCCTCGTCCTGGATGAACTGGAAGTCTTCTTCGGCCACCACAAACACGGGGAGGCCCTCTTTGGAAGCACAGAGCAGCACCTTCACTGTCTCGCAGCAGTCATGACCTAAAGGAAACACGTGCAGCAAGGAAGACAGGATTAGAGCCCTCCTCCTGAAACGAAGACGCTGGGGGCGTCCTCTCTGCTCTTCCTGTGTGATGTACAAGTTCCCCTGCCTAAAAGAAACCCTTCCTTCCCCTGAGTCCTGGCTGTAGTCTTCCCAATTTCTTAAAACTCCATTTCTAGCCCTTGTTTCAAATTGTTATTCGCAAATATGAATCAGTTCCCCTACCAAACAGCAAACAACTTTGCATTCCAGCGGCCTGTCACGCCTGCAACGTAGTGTCTGGCACTCAGTCTCTGAAAATCTCAACATTTACTGAACTACTGCTGTTCAACTTGAACAAATTAAAGAAGGGAAGCTCAAAGATCGTGTTAGGGCCTAGCATGCAGTGGGGAGTCTAACACCTACTGAATTGCATTAGCTCTGAAGACCCAGCAGGCAAGAGGTGAGTCACACAGGTCCCATGGCAGGAACTGTACAGATTCCCCAGCACCTGCCTTACTGTCACCACAACACAACAGATCAAATAGTGAAGCACTTTGAAAAGTACAATATGATTTTATTTTATTATTATTAGCAATTCAGGGCCTAGAAAATAATTTTGCTCTCAGACACACGTTCCTTCCTGTAAAGAGGACTTCGATGACTTGGCCTGGTTCACAAAAGGATGATGCAAAGTTGCGGCCAGACACTGGGTTCAGGACGAGCAGGCACGCCAGAGACCGTGGCGTCCACTGAACACAGGGCAGGGGCTCACGCAGCAGGCTAACACACCACCCTCAAGAGCCCCTCTTGAGTGCGAGCAGAGGTTCTGCAGGGTTAGATCCTGTGGAGAGCACCTTCCTGGAGAATCAGACTTTCTCCAAATTTTCAGCCTCACAGAAGTCAGTATTTCCAACATGCAGAATGTATTCATCAAACACGTTTCTTCTCAGCTTTCAAGGCCCTGATCTCCACTAGCTGCAACTATGTTCCTAACATCATCATTTCTTTCATAAAATATCTTTCTGATGAGAAAAAAGAAAGGGGAGTTGATGTCCTGGTTGAGTTATGCCCCTGCTGCTCTGCCTGATTAACCACCGGCGGCGGAGCACTGGGGCCTGTCGGGACCCTGCTGCGTGCAGAGGCCGCTTTCCCCTGAGGAGTGAGGCAGAGGGTCCTCGAATCTGACCTCTCAGACCACAGGCACAGGCTAACAGAAGCTTCTCACTTGACAGAACAAACTAAGCTTTCTGCCGTCTTTGAAAGAGTAAACAGTCATTTTTTCCCATGTGTCCAATGATAATAATAAGTAAATAGATTTCCACACACTTTTCCCCCAGGGGCCTCCTTAAGCTCTTTACCTGGTGACAATAGAAATCTCTCCCCGCTGTGTAAGTTGAGAGCGGTAACAAGTACTCAGTAACCAAGAACCTACGACATACCATATGACATGTCATTTTCTCCACATAACAAATGTATGGGTTATGTATTTGTCCTTGGGTTACAGATGAGAAAACTGAGACTTAAAGAAATAACTTGCTCAAGGTTACACAGATATTAAGAAGCAGAATCTATCATTCAAATTCAAGTCAGATGCCAAAGGTCATGGCCGATTGTATCATGATGCCAGAGTTTTACAACACATCGCTTAACAAAAAAAAAAAGGAAGGAAGGGTAACAGCTATGTCCCTGTCTGCAAGGAGCCCAACACTTGGAACGACAGGCCAGTATGACTCTTAAGCAAGAGTAACAGGTTCCTGAACTACCCAGGTCACTCTCCATTCAAGCACATGACTCCACCAGATGCTGCCACTGCCTTCGAGTTGAATTCTTCCTGTGAAGGCCGTGGGAAACAGAGGCGTCCTCTAGCTCACACACATGTACACGTGTGTGGCTGTGTGTATATGCCCATGTGTGTATTTCAACTCAGTAAATATGCTGAATTTTCTGTATGAAATGAAATTGGAAAAAACAAATCTTCATCTTTCTTCGAAAGGCAATTAGCCTAATTACAGGAGACAACAGTATCAGCAGAAACAAATCAAGTGATTCAGGTAGTAAAGGTCTGGATATTGTTCTGGCAGAAAGTGTTTTTTTTTAAATGTTCTGTAACTTTTAACAACTAACATCTGGACACCCACCAAGCCCAGGGCACTGTAATTAATCACCCTCTAGCAGTTACAGTCTCTAAGGAGAAAATCAAAGAAGCTGGAGATCTCTGCAAAAAGGGGCTGGTTCTACAGAAACAAATACCATGCGACTCGTGGGAGAGGACCAGCGATTTCACAGGTGGGCAAAAGAGAGGTGGTAGTTAAGAAGGACCCCTTTTTGACAGGCATCCTGCTCCCAACTTTCCAACCCCAGGGGTTCTTCACTGCAACCCTCAGAACTCAGATGCACAGTCCTGTCCTATCTATCTATCTATCTATCTATCTATCTATCTATCTATCTATCTATCTATCTATCTGCCTGCCTACCTACCTATCAATCAACCAACCAACCAACCAATCAATCAATCACTTCTCTAATAAGTTCTGTTCTCTGTGCCAGGCACCATTCTCAGTATTTTCTGAGCAACAGTTCATTTATTCCTCATTACAACCCTAGGGGTGAATACTATTATTAGCCTCATTTGCCAGACAAGGAAGTGAAGGCACAGAAATGTTAAGTAATTTGCCCAAAGTTATAAAGCTCCTAAGTGGCACAATTTGAATCTGAACCCAAGTGTTCTGCTCTCGTGTCTAGCCCTCCGCCCAAGATTCATGGACACAAGAAGGCTTGAAGAGGAAATAAGGGTCTGGAAGAATCAACGGGAAAGGAAGAAAAATGCTATGTTCAAATCCTGGCTGTGAAACTCCGCAGCTGCGTGAGCTCACACCAGCTCTGCTTCTCTGGAACTCATTTCCTTCACGTACAGCGTGAGACGGCAGCCTGTGCAGGCTGTGATTCCTGCAGCTGCACAAGCCTGTGGGGTTTACCAGGCAGAAGTTAGGGAGGGAAAGTTAGCAAGAGATTCCAGGAACAGAAAACAGTTTCAAAAACATAAGAATGGACACAGAGTGTAAGTTCAGGGGATGGAATAATTACTGCAAAAGACAGCTTCAGGAAAATATTACCTAGGCTACATCTGGATGCCGAGTGTTAGGACAGACCTGGGTTCAAACCTGTTTTGTTCCTTCCTAGCCACGTGGCCTCGGGTAAATGACAACTTCTCTAACACTTTAAAATCTAGACAGTATCCTAATCTTGTAAATGAAGAGGTGTAATTTAGAAGACTCCTCTCAAATTCTTTAATACTATCACCCAAAACATGCACAGCCTCATTTCTAGTTAAATTAGTTGGAGAGAGAGAGAGAGATTGACAGATAAGATAGGTAGACAGAGAGACAGACATAGCAACACATATTTCAGTCAGAATAATTACAGTGGACCCTTTAACAACACGGGTTTGAGCTGCATGGGTCCACTTATACGTGGATTTTTTCCCATACTACATACATGTACTACTATATTTACAACCCATAGCTGGTTGAATCCATGGATGCAGAACTATGGACATGGAGGGCCAAATAAGGGACTTGAGCATCGGCAGATCTTGCTTGGGGGGGGAAGGGGAGAGGGTCCCAGAACCAATCCCCCTGCGGATACTGAGGGATGGCTGTACTTTAAGAATGTCGTGGTTTTCATTCATAAATCTCACCAATTATAGCCTCCTCTCATTTATTCAGGATTAAGCTCATTTATAAACTCCTGAGAGTCCTGTGAGGTAAATATGAATAAATGTCAACAAATGATGAGAATGTGAGTAATTTGAGGTCCAAACTGAATTCTGCCTCCATAACTTAAACACCGTCTTAAAAGAGGTATTACACGGATCTAAAACAGTAATAACCACTGCCCCACCCATCTAAACAATCCTTAATCTTTCTTACTCGTCTCCTTTCCCAAGCCTGTGCAAATGTGAGACACCTGAGCACCTGAGCCAGAAAGGGAGTCACACGGCCACCAAAAGTAAACAGCATCACTGCTCTGTAAACCACCTCCTGTATACACACAGGGTTCACGCCACAATCCAGATCTTCAACCTCATCTTACATACACACAGCTGAAAGCCATGGTGAAACAATATCACCTTATTCAAAACTGAAAAGTGAAGAAATAATGTATCTACAGAGAAATCTACTTGGAACTGCTAAATGACTGTTTACTTGGATAGTACGGGGTGGGGAAAACAGGGGGAGAAAGAGAAGAAGGTTCAGGGGTGTGTCTATGTGTATGTCTGTGCGTGTGGGTGCAAACGGGCTTATTAGCAGCGTAAGCATGCATTATTTCCTTCTGCTGCTTTATAGCAGAATTTGACAAGGTGGATGGGTGAGCTATTGTCTACTCTGTGTAGAACTGAAAGAAAACCATGTATTAGGGAAGTCAGAATGTCAGAGAAGGCTGTGAAATAGACATCCAGGAGACGCCACCCAAGGCCAGCCCAATATTTTCCCTTCAGACATGCACTCACAATCTGAAGGAGAAACTATGAATCACCCTGAGTAAAACGTGCCATAAATCTGGGATTTGTTTGGTATGATTATAGGCTGCTTTTTCCAGAGAAAAACTGAGGGTTAAAAGAGGAGGGGAGAACTGAGGGTTTCCTGGATCAGTCTTTATTAATCTTTGAGTAAACTGGAAGAGTTACTACTGATCACGAACAAAGTGCCTCAAAAGTGCCTCGCCCCACTGTCTGGAAACCAACCACACAGGGCTGGCAGGGCTACTCTCTCACATTCATGTTTTCTATTAGGCTCAAGTGGTTCACAAGATTATATTTTAATCCCTACAACCTTTTAGATAAAACATCTAAAAAAAAAATCAACTGTTCTTTTTCAAACAAAGGTTATATAATACGGACCTATTAATAAAACTGAAATCACTGCATCTGCACACATAAAATCTCTTACTACCATAAATTAGCACTAGAGACACGACCATCTCCAGGGGCCATCAGTCTTGTGACTGCCTTTGCACA